TGGGAGATCCACAAATCCAAAATAGGTCATCCAATATATCATTTTGATTGGAAAAACCATTTTAAGAACTTTGGTTTAAATAGAATTTTCATTTGAGGCTTAAAAAATAAGGTTCCTTTGGAAATTCATTACTTGAAAAAGAGGGCAACTTTGCAAAACCCTACACAAGCCAAAAATGCACTTGTTTTCCACTCATTCCTTCTTAATAACTCATGTAAGGGTATTTTGAGTCAAAATTACAAGGCATGGAGCATGGTATATGAGAAATCCAACATGGCATATCATGGAACTTTCATGAAACTTCCACACCCTTCTAGATGAATCTAGAAGCATCCATCAATTGTTATAAAAAGTGTGCATCAGAGAGTGATGAGAGGTTGGTGAAAATTGAGCTAAGTCAGAGGAGAGAGGAGGATACATAGCCATTGGAGAGATTTCTTCAAGTTGAAGCAAGTCAAGATATCTTTCACTTCAAGCCACCACCTTCACAACAAGTGCAAACAGAAGGCTATCCATCATCAAGGGATCATCCTGAAGGATTTGCAAGCCCTGGTTCGAGCCATAGCATCACTCACCATAGCTTCTTGACAGGTTGGTGAACTCATCTCTTTCTCTTTATTTATGCTTAGATAGATCATATTCTAGGTATAGAACGATTGTGTTAGGGTAGAGGATTAATCCCTGAGAATTAGAACAAGATTGGTGAGGTTGCATAACAGAACCATGATTCTTGGATCTTCGATAATTAGTTGTTTAATGAGTTTTAATCAGCATGGATTAGTGTATGATAGCTAGCATAGCTTGTAGAACATCTGTAAGCCATTGAACTGAGGTTTGATGAAGGTTGGTGTCAGTTGACCATGGTGGTACCAAGGTGTTTAAGCATTCTGTTAGAACAATCTAGGGCGAATCAAGAGAATCTACTCGTACCATTGTGTTCTAGGCATTTAGTAGGTGATTTCTTGTTTTGGAATCATGGCAAGCCGTGGCGTGTAGAGAGAGCTAGAGGAGCTCGATTTTGTGCGCATGGAGTGAGGGTTCTGCAAACCCTAATTCGTTTGGAGAAGACGAAAGGAGAGCCGTTGGATCAAGTCTAAAGATTGACTAATTCCTTAGATCCAATGGCCGTGATCGCGTCTGAGATTGGAGGGAAGATTTGAATTCTAAATGAAACGCGGTCGTTTCATTAAAGACCGGTGCTGGGCTTCAGTTTCTATTCGCCCCCCCCCCCCTTTGTTTGGCCCAGTTAATTGAACTAGTTTGGTTTGCTTTTCAGACCCCCCCTCCCTTTAATTCAATTAAATTGTTTTATTTTTCTTCTTATATTTCTCTGTTTTGTAAAATGCATTAAAAATTGTTAAAAAATGATTTTTAATTTCTTCTTTTTTCTATGATTAGATGAAAATGAGTAGAAAATTATAAAAATAAAAATGAGATTTTATTTTTAGGTTTCGTATTTTTAATAGATTTTCCAATTAAATAGCTTTTTAATAGTCTTAATTTGATATTTGATTTTGTAGGAATTATTTTAGAACCTTCCCTTAGGGTTTTTAATCCATTCTTTTTTGTGCCATTAGATGATGAATCATAGTTCCCCATAGGATTTCTTCTAGATTTTTAGAAGTTAATCTTGATTAGTTTAATTAGGGTAGATTTAGGGTATCCTGATTAGGGTATAGAATGTGTTTAGGTGATGAATCCCTTTCTTTGATTGAGTTTCATCTTGATTTTTAGGTAGAGACCTTTGTGGATGCTATGAGTAGGTGTTGAGGACCCTTATGAATAATTGCTAGATTTTTCCCCATTAGTTTAGTATTTTTAGGTATTTTCTGAAGTTGCCTGATGATTTGGTCTGTTCAGTGGGTTATCTGTTCATCTGTGGGGTTCATTCTGAGGAATTTGTTGAGGGGCTTGTGTTGCCTTGAAGACCTTGATGGGAGTGCATCATGAAGAGAAGCTTGTAGATCAAGATGCAGAGACCCAGAGCTTGTCTTGTTCCCAGTCTGTGAGGTTTGAGAGCCTGAAGTTTGAAGGAAGTTCATGGTACTTTCCTGAGGAAGGCACTATGAATGACTTTCATCCTTCCTTCTCACCTCTTTCTTAAGTATCCAATGATGTTGGAGCCAACTTGTGAGTTTAATTTCTCCTGAGGAGGAATGTAAACTGATCACATGTTGTTGAGCCACATGGGATACAATTCCTAAGTGAAAGCCTCCTAGTACTTTCCTGAGGAAGGTCCTATGGGTCTGTCCACTTAGTTCCACTAGTTTGTCTAGGATTTCTCAAGTATCCAATGATGTTGGAGCCAACTTGTGAGTTTAATTTCTCCTGAGGAGGAATGTAAACTGATCACATGTTGTTGAGCCACATGGGGTACAACTCCTAAGTGGAAGCCTCCTAGTACTTTCCTGAGGAAGGTCCTATGAGTCTGTTCATTTAGTTCCACTAGTTCAGATAGGATTTCCTAAAATATCCAGTGATGTTGGAGCCTGCTTGTGAGTTTAATTTCTCCCGAGGAGGGATGTAAACTGATCACAGTGGTTGAGCCACATAGGGTATGACTCCTGAGTATACACCTCTTAGTGCTTTCCTGAGGAAGACACTATGAGTCTGCTTGCTTAGCTCCCTTTCTTTGGTAAGCTTGTTCTGAAGCTTGAAGACTGGGATTGATTTCTCCTGTTTAGGGTTCTGCTTGAGAGCTTTGCTTAGATCTGTTTAGATCCTGTGATTAGGATTAGGGTTAGAGAGTAGATTCTTTCTTTCTCAAGCATGAGTGGTGTGTTTGCCTGATGGCACTTCATTTCTTTTATCCGTATATTGCTTGATAGCATGTTGTTTATATTCAGTATGATTACTGCTATTTCATGACTGGCTTGAGGTCGAGATGAGCTTGTGGAGGTTGAAGCCCCACACACATTTCCTCCCTCACTTGCATTGCATGCATTTTACTGTTAAAGCTGATGCTTTTGTCTGTTTTGGTGTATCATTGACATGATCCCTTAGGACTCTCATTTCTTCTGATGAGGATTTGATGATAGACTTTTAGGTTGAAACCTATGCATGCTAACATCTAGGAGTTCCCTGCTCAAACCTCAACCATAGGATGAATCCATGGCATGATAACAGTAGGACTTGATAGTCTCCCTCC